AGCTCTGGTGCTTATTAATCTCAGAAACTCACTTCACTGAAAAAAACTACTTTAAAATTTATAACTACACTACTTATAATTCAAATCACCCAAGTGGCAGGGCTCGCGGCGGTTCGGCTATATTAATCAAAAATAATATAAAGCATTTTGTTCTACCAAATATTTCTGATGATTTTCTACAAGCAACTCAAATTTCTGTTGAAACAAATTTATATAATTTTTGTGTTTCTGCTGTTTATTGTCCACCAAGATTCAAAATTTCTTGTGCTCAGTTTTCTTCATTTTTCTCTCAATTAGGTAATAAATTTATCATTGGTGGTGACTTTAATTGTAAACATATTGCCTGGGGTTCTAGACTGACTACAGCCAAAGGTAAGATACTTCATGCAGCCATCGGGCAAAATAACCTCTCCTTTATTTCAACTTGCAGTCCAACATATTGGCCTTCTGACCCTACTAAAGTTCCAGACCTTTTAGATTTTTTTATTGTGAAAGGTATTGATCTTTCAAATCTCAATGTTGAATCTAGTTACGATCTCTCTTCAGATCATTCTCCAATACTTGTGACGTTTAGCACATTTCCTACTCCAGTTATCAACAATCATATTCTACACAACAATCTTTCTAACTGGATTCAATTCAAATCCATACTTGATTCAAAATTATTTCCAAAATCTAGGCCTACAAGCGTTATTGATATAGAAAATAATATAGATTATTTTTCTGAGATTGTACGTGAAACAACCAAGCAGATCACCCCGAACATTATTCCAAGAAATGATAATCTAATAATTCCGCAAGAGATTAAGAAGCTAATTGCACAGAAACGAAGAGCAAGACGTACCTGGCAACATTCTCATCTACCAACGGATAAGACATCGCTCAATCATCTCAATAACACGCTGAGGAAAAAAATGAAAGAATGGAAGAATTGTACATTCAGGTCGTATATATTGCAGCTAAATAGATACGATAATTCCATATGGAAACCAATCAGAAACAAAAGTAAACCCCTACAACAAAACCCTCCTCTGAAAATAACCAACCAAAACGGATTCATTTGGGCAAAAAGCAACGAAGAAAAAGCGGAGGCATTTGCTGATCATCTAAGTAGCATTTTTAGCGCTCGAAATATTTCCCAGAATAATTTAATTAACAATTTCGTAAATCAACCCATACATTCTACACCGTTAGGACATTTTTCACCAAATGATGTCTTATGTGAAATAAAAAGGATAAAAAATAGATCTTCGCCGGGTATGGATAAAATTACTCCAAAGATGTTAAAAGAATTGCCTACAAAAGGTATTTTATATATAACAAATATTTTCAACGCCATACTTCAATACAATTATTGGCCCACAGCGTGGAAGACTGCAGAAATTATTATGATCGCTAAACCAAACAAAAACCATCACACTGCTAGTTCATACCGTCCTATCAGTCTTTTATCGATATTATCGAAAATTTTAGAGAGACTTTTGTTGCAGAGATTGTCAGAAGATCATCCGAATGATAGTTGGATTCCTCACCATCAGTTTGGCTTCAGAAAAAATCACTCTACAATTCAACAATGCAACAGAACGGTGTCTCGTATTCTTGAAGCCATGAATAGAAAGGAACACAGCGTAGCCGTATTCTTAGATGTTAGTCAGGCTTTTGATAAGGTTTGGCACTCAGGACTCCTATATAAAATCAAAACAACTTTTCCAAACTACTTCAATATCTTAAGCTCATATTTGCTTAATAGAAAATTTAGAATCAAAATTAAAGATGTGACTTCGAGCATCAGAAATATAGAATGCGGGGTACCACAGGGCAGTGTGCTAAGCCCTGTACTTTATCTTCTTTTCACAAACGATATGCCCACAGATGATCTTCTAACCATATGCACTTACGCCGATGACATAGCAATTATTTCATGCAATTCCGATATTAGAACAGCAACTTGTCAGTTACAAAATTATTTATCTAGTCTCGAAAAATGGTTTTTAGATTGGAATATCAAAATCAATATCGAAAAATCTCAGCACATAATTGTTTCTCTAAAACATCACAACAGTCCACCTATCATGATGAACAATTCAATAATTCCACTATGCAATTCTGTTAAATATTTAGGCATGCACATTGATTCGAAATTGACATGGAGAACGCACATTGAATATAAAAAGAAACAAATCCAACTGAAAATAAAAGATTTTTACTGGCTTTTTGGGAGGAAATCTGAAATCTCTCTCGATAACAAGGTACTTTTGTATAAAACTATCATAGTGCCCATTTGGACTTATGGAATCGAACTATGGGGTTGCTCATGCAAATCTAACATAAACATCATTCAAAGGTGCCAGAATAAAATTCTGCGTATCCTTACTAATGCGCCTTGGTATATTTCGAATTTTTGCCTACATAAGGATTTGAAAATCTCAACAGTCAACGAAATGATCAAGATTAGAAGTTCATCTTTCAACAACAAATTAATCCAGCATACAAATCCTACAATTCAAGCGATTCAGAGACCGATAAGAAGATTGAGCAAGAAATGGCCTTCCGATCTACCAAACACCTAGCCCAATGTCTGCACGCGTCCTGACGTAGTACGCGGCATACATCATCACGTCATCGTTCATTTATGTTATTATTTTTGTATTACTGTTTTAATTTTATTTTTATTTTAACTTTTTTCATTTTATGTTCAATGTATTGCATTTTTTGTTTTTTTGTATTTTTTTTTGCTCATATCAATTTTGTAAATAAGACATTAAAGTCTTGATTAACAAAAATAAATTGTAACAAAAAAAAAAAAAAAAAAAAAAAAAAGGCAATTTTCAAAAATTTGTTTTGAAATTTCTCTATTTTTTCTATATTAGTCTTATGAGCACTGCCCCACAATTGTATACCATAGCACCAAGTTGGTTTAAATACAGATTTATATGAAAGTAGCTTATTGTATGAGCTTAGTTTGGATTTAGTCCCTAGTAACCATAAAATGATGACGATATAATTGATAGTTATGCTGTATGTATAGAAAATATTGTATTTCCATGTTTTTATTATTTGTTTCACAAAAATGAGTAGCTGATCTCTATAGTAGCAAAACGGATTATATTTGCAAAGCTCTGCGATTTATTTCAAATGCGACTGACTTTAGCACATGTTTAGATTGTTATCGATTTTATTACCCAGAAGGGTGATTCGGGTTCAAATTGAAGCAAGCCTAATGTATCATGAGCTATATAAAAAATAATTTATTATTTATGCCGCATATAAAATTTCATTTCATTTAAGAGAAAGAAATATGATTTCAAGAAGCAGGGATTATTCGTAATAAATTTTACAATTTAATATTTGCATTGCTGCTTGTAATAAAACACAGCTATTAATATCAATCACATTTTCTTTTTTATTACAATAACAAAATAACTTATTTATTATATTATATACTTGCATTAAATCAGCATAAAAAACTAATGTTTTTTTTAATTCAAGGTATTTGGTATATGTAATGAATATTATTTAACATATTATATGCTTACTTAAGATTTTTTTACTCGTTATGCAGCAGTGTTGAAGTCGACGATTATCTCGTGTTTGCTGTGTCATATTTATATGAGGATCTACTTATGTAAATGAAAGTATGAAATTACCTCCATGCGTTGACTAAACGATACCTCACGGACGCTAAGTTTAAATTAACTCGATTTTCAGTGGGTGGTACACGAAATGAATAATAGCCTACACAATCAAATAGCTTTCTAAGGTTCAATGCAATCTTATTCATATTATTTGCCTATTAAATGTTATCTTTCTGCCTGTGCCGCCATTTTTGTTTAATTCACATTAGCTCTTGAGCAATTATTGGCGAGGAACTTAAATTGATATTTAAATATATATATATATATATATAATATATATATATATATATATATATACACCTAAGTCTGTTTTTACACGGTAGATTGGTTCCAGAAAAGGCCGTGTAAAAAAAACGTGTAAAAAAAGACATTGATCTTATACAAAAATGGGTGATTTGTTCCTAATCTCTAAAACCTATTAAAATTAGTGAAAAACAAGAATTTTTAGGGTATTCCCCTAAATTAGTGCTATTCACATTTGCTTTGACCAGTAAAAATTGTTTGTACGCGCTAAAGGGGAATTCACTTAAATCTTTAAGCTAGTGTTCGCAAACTATCGATACTATCGATGGTTTCAGACTTTTTTCTTTCATAAATACTTTTTTGTTATATGAACATACTTCGCAAAAATTAAATTTGACAAAAAAATTTAAGTACATAAAATTTCAAATCGTGCTAAATGGAATAAAATCGTGTTAAAAAATTAAAAATACTCGATTTTCAAACCGTGTTATATCAAAACCGTGTACAAAAAGACCATGTAAAAACAGACTTAGGTGTGTATATATATATATATATATATATATATATATATCGAAATGTCATGAATATCCTAAAACATCGAATATGTTAATCGCAATCACTGACATTTGGCGCGCAATCATTTAAATTCACAAAAGCAAATTTTAACTTAATTTAAATAATTCCTATTTTAAGAATTATATCGATGAATAATTTAGTTCTCCAAATGCGAATTTAATTCTATTTTTATATGACCAACAATTTATCATTTGCTTGAAAAGAATAAATAAAAACTTTAAAACCACGTGAATCTTAATATAAATTTTAATGTTTAATTTATGTCTTTTCTCAACATTGTTTTTGGTAGTCATGAATAATGTATTTACGTTCAATATATGTTGCCATATTGCGTTTTATAAAATCCAACTAATTATTATGTATTTTCTTAAGTGTCTTATTATGTAGTGTTTTAAGTTTCTTACATTTACATTTAAATACTTTATGAATAATCGTTTTATGTATCTGAATGAATATGTTTATAAAGACGATCCATATTAGTGTTGCTAATTAATGAGTTTAATTTGAGATATCTTTTTCAATGCATGTAATTGTTTTTGTTTCTAGGAACACTATGTGAAAGTCATTGTTGTTCGCCGTCAACAGAAGAGCTACTTTTACGACGTACGACTGACGATTACGTCGCTCTGCTAAAGCACAATTCAGGTGTTTTGCAAGGATTACTGGATTCAACGGCAACTACTTTACGAGGTAAGAATTTGCTAAATACATTTATCACATTTTGAACAAAACGCTAAAATTATGTAGATGTTATTAATAGCATGATAATACTATAAATTAAGAGAAGAACTGTAGCAGTTATTATTAGTGAACCACACGCGAATCGTGAGGATGAATTATGACTCTGGCTTTTATGGATCTTAGTTGTTTTTAGCTTTATTCAATAATTCTAATCAGAAGATTGTAGAATAATAATTATTTAAGAGATTTAACAATCTATAGATTTTTGGCAAAATTGCAATACGCTATTTTTATGGAGCTGGGTGAAAATAGACGAAGCTTTTTGCTTGCCTTTCTCACATTGAGAGTGTAATGGTCCTTTATATTTTCACAATAACTAGATTACTTGAATGACTTCATAAGCTAAACTTGTTGGGTGTATGGCATCGTGCCTCAAGGCAAATTTCTGGAACTTCCTGTACCGTAACGAAATGTTCGAGGAATACTGAATGTTTTGAAATAGATTATTATTAATATTGTAACATTGTCTAATATTTATAAGAATTATATAAACTGAATTGCAAAGTTGAAATTATTTGTTCAAAGTATATTAGAATTTTAGTCAGAATTAAAAATAAAATCTGTATTATTTTCGATATACAAAAAAAATTGAAAAAAAAAAAATGTTGAAACAAATTTTTTTTCCAAAATCAATTATTTTGTTAAGACAAGCAGAAAGTTCTTTGAATCATTTAAATCGGACGCTTAGTTCTCTCAAAAACTGCCATTTTTTGCACATTTAGCTCCGTATCTTCGAAATGGCTGAGCCTGCCTTTGCGAAAATCTAATAAACACTTCTCTGAATCATTACTAATTGAATGTTTTTAGAACATTCAAATCGGATGCTCCGTTCTCTCAAAAACTCGATTTCTATTTTTTGCACTCTTTGCTCTTTATCTCCGTAACTGCTGGACCTGCCTTTGCCAAAACCTAATCAGCTCATCTCCCTATCAATAGGAATCGAATGTTTTTTTGAACAATTCAAATCGGTTGAACCGTGCGCCCGAAAACGTGACTGGAAATTTGTATTCTTACATACACGCACACACACACATCCATTTTTTCTGAGGTATGCCGAAATGTTCAGAAACCTTCAAAACGTCGAGAAATGTAAAAATTTTCAATTTCGATTTTCGGCCCATTACAATAACTTACCCTACGTGAAGTTAACAATTATTCAATCAGTGAACAGCTATAACTAAACTATTAAAACCTCTTCAAGTTTCGTCATTTCTTGTAATTTACTATTACTGCAAATTTTTCATACTTCACTTACGTCTTGGAGACAGAAGTAGCTCACAAAGAGCATTTTGTTTTTCATTACGGTCAATTAGCAATAAGGTCAACTCAATCTCTGAATGTCTTTGTATATATCTTCTACTGTAAATATATAAATTACAGTCAGCATTAGCTGAATACTTCTATCGTGGCGATGATGTCACTTACTGTTAGGCATTCTCAAAGCCTCGTGTGCAGATCATATCACGCGGCGCGAGTATCGATTCGCTCTGTGCGGTCAGGGAAGGAGAGTTCAAAATTGAGATGGCTAGCCGGTCTATTGTGGGCGGCTCAAAGGTCACGGTCATCTCCGAAAAAGACGTAAAATATATAATGACCCAAAATACCGTTGCTCCAACTGACCAGATGTGTGACAACTAGTAAATAATGCATAACAAGCCTTTTTCTCTACTTTGAAATTGAATATTTGTTTCGTTTTTATATTTGGAATATATAAATATATTATGTATTCAGATTGCATAACAAGTCATTCAGTTTTCTGTGTATTTTATATCTATTGATAGTTTTCCACCCTTTCAAGAACAATTGTCTTAGTTTAAGTATATGATTTTGAAATGTATATATCACTAGTTTTTATTATGATTTGATTGAATAAATGCAATATAATTAAGGGGGTATTCTACTGTAGAGGCATGAATTTCGCCCGGATTTTGAAGCGCTGTATAAAGGAAACAAATAATATTTTTACTATCGATTTTTTTATGATTTGTTTATTGATATTTTATTATTACATAAAAAAATTATTAAAAAAAAAAATTAAAATTCACAAAGTTATGAGCAGTCAAATTGGGGGCTCAAAACAAAGAGGGTGTCATGGCGTGCATGATTCCAACCCTCCTGGTGATCTGAAACATAAAAAATAGATGGATTCTTAATTATTATAGATGCTGCTATCGCATGACCCTTGGATAAGTTAAAAAAAAAATTGTTGGAATGGCGGCAGTTTGAAAAAAAAATGTTTTTCATGTTTTTTAACAATTCCGAATTTTTTAAAAACACTAAATGAAAAGTTATGATTTTGGGCAAGGTCCACACGATAAAGCGATGTATAGAGAAGATCCTTTCGAATTTTGAAGTAAATCGGTTCGTTAGAACTCGAGATATCTTTACCGCCAGCTCAAAAAAAGTAGTTCCGAAAAAAACGCGTTCAAAGTTTTGAGACTCGATCGGACCCGAACCGAGGCCACGTCACTAAAACGGCTATAACTCAGGAAATAATAGTAATTTTGAAAAATCCTTTCAATGACATAATTTTGAATAACTAAACTTTGAAAATATGAAAAAAAAATTACGATTTTTTCAAAATTCTACAGAAGAATACCGCCTTAAGTCACCTAAGGTATAATATGGGAGAAAACTTACATTTACATTAAGAGCTTTAGACACATGTGCGAATATTTGTTTTATGATTGAACATAGCAATGGAGCGTTATACTGTGAAATGAACCATGCTGTATATACATCTGGTGGTCATTGCGCGACATTAAACCAAAGAAATAAACTCCACAACTACACTCATATTCAATTGACCGTGCGGCGATAAAGAATGAAAGAAAATTCTTCCAACTCTTATTTTGTTAAGGGTAATATTACAAAGTTTTGCCCACTGGATATTTATATTTATATATCTATTTTCACTGTACAATCAATATAAATTTTCAAAGTGCACTACATAATGTGAATGAAATCAACTAAAAGTTTTCATAATGAAATATCTATTTTGATATTAGTACATATTCTATCGTGATCACGCTGAGGAGGAAACTTTCCCTACTATTTTTACAGGAAATTATTACGTTGGATGTGTTTCCGTCTGCTGCATACGAATCGTGCAGACAAAATATTGTGAATTGTGAGTCAACACACAGGTTAGGATCCATGAGTCATTTTTGTCTTCAGGCAATACCTACCAACGCGAACTTTGCAGTTCGCTACGGGACCATCATTAACATCAAGCACCACTCCCACATGACGCATCCGACAAGTAAAACGGAAAAATCAGCGTTGCACTTTATAACTTGTGCTCACAGTTAGGGTTTTTTCTATAGCGCAACCCACAAGTAAGTTTCAGATTTTACGCTGGCGGATGTTAAACAGCATATAATTACTATATTCATGTTATGCCATAAAATAAATCTGTGCTTGGATGCAATTCTTACCAAATTATCAAAAAAACTAATTAATTATTCTTCATTTTGTCGCGACTTTTTAACTTCCCGTAGGGGCAAGTTATAGTAATCGCAAAAAAATCGAAAATGAAAATTTTTATATATCTTTACGTTTTAAAGGTTTTTGAACATTTTGGCATACCTTAGAAAAAATGTATGTATGTGTGTGTGTGTGTGTGTGTGTGTATGTATGTATGTATGTATGTATGTGCGTGTGTGTATGTATGTGCGGATACAAATTTTTGTCGACGATTTCGGGAACACGGATCAACCGATTTGAATAATTCAAAAAACATTCGATTCGTATTGATAAGGAGACGTGCTGATTAGTTTTTGGCGAAGGCAGGTCTAGCCGTTCCGAAGATACGGGGCAAAAAGTGCCGAAAACGGTAACTCAGTTTTTAAGAGAACGGAGCGTCAGATTTGAATAATTCAAAAAACATTTCACTTGTATTGACAAGATGAAGAATCGATAAAATTTTCATGAAGGTAGGTCTAGCAGTTTCGGAGATATGGAGGAAAAAGTAAAAAAAATGAGCCATTTGGCGGTCAAAAATGATCATTAGACATATGCACATCAAATTATCAGATATTTTATAGAGATTTTAACAATAAGTATACATTTTGTTAACATTTCTATGGGTTCCGTACCAATGCTTATGCGTTAGACAGCGACGCGGCGCTTACGCGCTTTATATTTTGTTCCTATGCAGTTAAAGCAGTACGATTGCTTTGAAAAAAAGTTCAGATCTTCTACAATATGTCAAAATATAGAAAAAAAAAATTTCTTCAAAAAAAAAAAAAAATTAAAAAAAAATGTTTTTTTAAAAATTTTTTTTTCAAAAAAAAGTTATTTTTTGTCCAATTTATAGTTTCTCAAAAATCTTATTCTTTCAAAGTAATTTTTTTTCAAAAATGTTAATTGTTTTTAAAAAAATAATTTTTGGTACGGGAAGTTCTAGCAATTTGCCTTAAGGCACGATGCCTTAATTGCCTTAAGACAGAATTCCACTTACAGCTAGTTATTTTCTTAATTGATTCTTGACCACATTTATTATAAGACATAACCCATACGAGAAGGTAGTAAAACTATTTCGCTTTTAAACGTCTTCCCACGCCATCTGCATTCCTTTAGATTTTAATGTGCAGCCTAAGCATGAACTTTTGTTCTTTAATATAGTCCGTCGTCATAACAAAACAAAAGCAAAAGCAAAAGAACGTAAAGAACATTTCGTGTGATTCGACCGATATGCACGATCAGATGTTATATCGCATATAGAAACAGAGTAGCATTTAATTCATGGGCTACGCTTGTAGTTTAATCATTTAATTATAATCAAACATGAGGTCGAACGATGAACGACGCAGATACTAAATATAATTCGAAATAGTCTTATTTGGTTTCTTATCATGAATAGGGTTGGAATAATTATTTTATTATTGATCATGCCTTCCCCGAAATAAAACTTGTTATGTACTATATTTATAATACAGCTCGAACTT